GGCAGAGGAAAACGTAGACCGGCGTCAAAATGGTCTACGTATACTGGCACCCAGCCCGTCCGTGACACTGAACACGCCCGTTCATTTGGTGTCCCAGCTCGGATCAGGATGGTCCTGGGGATCTGGAATCACCTCACCATCTCCTCCAGCTTCTTGTACCCCTTCACCGTGGCCGCGCCATCTGCGACCTCGTGATGAAGCACCGCCCTGAACTTGAAGCCGGCCGGCAAGGTTTTGGGAGCCTTACGAAGGTTGTCCAGCCTTCCACTGAGAACCTTGCTCTCCCACCCTTCGAACACCACCACCTCTGCTGCTGCACTTGTCACCGGTGCACTGCAACCAACCTCCTCAACGCCCTCCGCCCCACTAGGTGTCTCTTCCGTTGATGAATCACTAGAGGTTGAAGGCTGGTGGCCCTCAGAACCACCGCTCACGCTCGAACTAGCATCACTCCTAGGTGCGGCGGTTTTGGGCGAATCCTGCAACTCCGGCGGCACTATTATCGCAATAGGCTCCACGGATATCACATCAACATCCCCCTCTTCACCTTGGTTACCCTGGAACCCTTGTGCATCGTGGAAAGAAGCCATTTTTACCTGAGCAGTTGAAGGTGAACGTGCTTTCGCTTGAAGTCTGGAAAAATGGCCGTGAATATCTCTGCAATATTCTCTGAAAAACGTACAAATGTGCTCTGCAGTGAAATGAAAAGAAATGACAAACTGTTTGTTTTGTTTTGGCCGTTCAAATGGTGCTCCGTAAACGCCGTACGCGTGTTTACGGCCCCTCAGTTAAGCGTGTCCACGTGGAAGCCATTTACGGTTAAAAACCCAAAACGCGTCGTTTGCAGCTGTCACGTCCCCTCAAATGCTTAGCCAGCATTTATTGCGGGGAGGTAAAAGGGTATCTGTTAAAAGCAAAGGAATACCAAACGCCCTGAGCAAATCTCCTCAGAGATTCGCCACAATCGTTGAAAAATCCGAAGGACCAGATCGCGACAAATTTCAATGATCAGCTCGTAACAAATTCGAGACTTAGGCAAATCTCCTCAGAGATTCGCCACAGTACACATTTTGAAAGTCCCTACGTTCAGCTCGCTACAAATCCGCGATCTCCTCACAGATTTGCCATAATTCAAAATTTGAAATTCCCGAGAAATCAGCCCGTTACTAATCAGAGATCTCTGAAGAGATTCCAAATTTGAAGTCTCTAGAGGTCAGGTCGCGCAAATCAAGGATTCACCTCGCTCTCGGACATCAAGCGTTAGATTGTAACCACCTTCTTTAGAGTTGCGCTGTATCCTAGCAATCTATGCTGAAGTGGCGAATGAGGTCGCTCATCTCGGCCACCTGGGGTCGGCTCGTTAAGCTCGTTCGCTATTTGCTCGCCTCCACTCTTCCGCAGAGAATTCACTATGCAAGGTCCCCCTTGCGCGCCTGCCCGACCCTCAGGTTGGCGTCGAGCTCGTCTAGCTTTCACATCAACTCCTCACGCCTGCTCGGCAACATGCCGCCATGCATGTGCACATTCGGCAGGCATGATGTCGTCAAGCCGATCAGGTCGGCCATGCGC